GCTACAGTAACAGAAAGCTAACATACAGGGGACAGGAACAATACAGAGAAAGACCAGTGGCTCAGAACATATGTAAGATTCAACACCACTCACCAGAAAGGTGCACCTATATTAATAGTACAGTGTTTTAATACAGCTTTTTGTTTTTATCAACTTGTTATCAAGTTGTTTTGTCAACTTGGCAAGAACAAAAAACTGATGGCACACCAAGTTGGAGCTGGGGGAAACCAGAATACTCACAGAGTCATGCCATGTTCTGGGAATGTAGTCTAGCAATACAATCACAAGATAAAATAAAATAAAACAAAAACTTTTAAGTCACACTTAGGAGTTTCACCTACTGCAACAGTCCTATGTGTGAAAGATTAGGTATAAGTAGGCTCAATGCACTCTTGTCTAACATAGCAAACAAGCAACAGGAAGCTACAAACCCACCATGGACTACCTTGATAAATATGGTACAGTCAATGAGACAGTCTACACTGACTTAAAGGATAACATAACGTCCACATATGTGTCTTGCAGAATGATTGCAACAGATGATTTAAAAAAGGAACATACTTGAGTATTATTTTCTACTATTTGTGTTAAAAAGGGGAATGTATACTTATACATCTGCTTAGTTTAGAATATGTATCCTTAAGAAATTGTCTCTGAGGATTATAGCCATGTTGAGAGGGATCAAAAGGAAACTTAGCCCCATAGCTTCCATACTATACTTAACCACATTTCTATCTTGGACTGGAGAAAACCTACGCTTCCCTGAGCAAGCAGCCCTTGTTAATCATTTGAACCAACAGCACAAGGTTGATTTGCCCCAAGCTTCCCTTATTTCTCTCCTCCCCCATTCAAAACATGCAAATCAACAGACTGCTGGCCAGCTATGATTGGTTTCACCAATCATTTCTTCCAAGGATAAAAGGAGCTTGAACGCGGCTTCAGAAAATGAGATTTCAGGATGCTAGTCCACCAACTTCTCTGTCTTGTGGGGGTTACAGAACAAATCTTTTTTGCTATAAGATTTGCCCTCAATTCACTGGGCCCTTTGTGACAGGTGAGTGAATAGACTTGGGCTCAGTAACAAGGAAAACCAGAGAGCAGAGAATGGGGAAAAGCAGGAGGATTTTTCACTGTGTACCTTTAAGGGTTGTTTGAATTAATATTTTTAAAAATTTTGATACATCCAAGTATTACCTCTAAAATTTTTATTTTAAAATATTTAACCTGTGCAAGAAGTACTTAAACACATCTTTTTTAAGGGAGAGGAGGGTGCACCCACAGTCCCTGTGGTCCTCTCTCCTCCCCTCCTGCTGTCCTGTTCTGTAAAGCCCTCTCCACTGTGGCCAAAACCCACTCCTCAGCAGTCTTCCTGTGGCCTGGTTTCAACCCTGGGGACAGCTCCTATCCTGCTCCTTTGGGCCACTTTCTGAGCATATGCCTACCAGTCTTCCCCATCACTAAGATCTTTCCCATGAACATTAAGGAAGGCAATGGAAAGAAATACAACTGCTATGACTTGAATGTGTCTCCAAAGTGCCATGGGTTGGAAACTTAACCCCTAAAGTCAAGTGTTAATGGTCTTTGAGATGTGGGAACCTTTGAGTGACTGAGTGTCGAGGGCTCTGCTCTCCTGAATGGACAAGCCCACTCATAGATCAAAGGCACAGTGGGTATCACAGTAGTGGCTCTGTTACACAGGGAGTTCTCTAGTTAGCTTGCTGTCACACTGAAGCTTGGTCCCTGTCTCAAGATAAGATGACCCTCACCAGGCACCAGCATGAACCTCTCAGAACCATGAGTTAAAAAAATCCATGTTTTAAAAATTACCCGGTCTCTGGTACTTTGTTACAGCAACAGAAAAAAAGACTAAGATACTAACTTCCTCCAGACTACTGCTCCTCACCCTTGACTAAACTTCAATGGTATCTGTGATCCAGATGTCCAAGCTTGGGCTATGGTAGGGAGGAGAGGCAGGAATAGGGCTGACATCTAAGAGGCGTGTGGAATAAGGTGACAGCTGGAGGAGGGAAATTAAGCCCCGGGCATAAGTGGGCAGAACTTAGGGGAACCTGACCAACTGGCCTGGTACACCTACAGTGTTCAACTGCACCCATGTCCTCATGCAGCTTAGAACCAGCACTTGCAGGACAAAGCCACATGGCCCCAACTACTTTACCAATGGACCAATTCTATGTGCCAACTCCCTAAAAGCTGGGGCAGCACAAATTCTCTCCATCTTGAGAGAATCTTTGAGCAGTGTGGTCTGAGGTTGGGTCTCTGACCAAACTACAGCCTGGTAGTTAAAAGCAGTTGTTGGAAAATTATACCACTTGATCTGCAAATTGATTCCTCACTTCCCTGAGATGCAGCCCTGGGACATTTTCTTCCTTCTCTGAGCCTCAGTTTTCTCATCTGTGAAATGGGACTGCAACAGCTTGCTGTGAAGAGTCTTTGTGTTATTACTGTATTTAAGGAGCTCAAAGGAGAGCCTGACATATAGTACATGCTCAACAAATTCCAATTATTATATGATCTGCTGGCTTTTCAAAGACTTCTAATGGGATCATCTTATTGCTTTAAGGATCAAAAAAAAGATGATGAGAATTTTCCCAGAGAACAAGTTTTTCTCCTATTTCCAGCTCCCAGGGTCTTTATTTTTTTATTTTATTTTTTTTTTTTGT